CTGGCATATTCCAGGACTGTTGTTTTTCCCTCTGCATCTCCAGTCATTTCTAATGCTGCTGTGTTTCTGATATGTGTAACTATTCAGATTTAAAGGTATTTCCTCTTTGTGACCTTGACAACTTGCATGGGACAGTCGGAGCTGGTGGACCAGTTTCCATTTTGCATGATTCAGTTTAACTCTGTGATCTCCAAAACTCTTCTCCTGGATGAAATTCTGTTGCTTAAGAATATCAAACCCTCCAGGGAAGTTCTTAGCAAAGTGACAACCAACTAACTGCTCTCTTCATCTTTGTTAATATCGGTACTAAATTATTAATGTTTTTGCCTGGCAAAACCAGTAAATATCTTGGTTTCAGGCCTGATTAGTATTTAATAAAGGATACATTTAGGGAGCCTCTCACATTCTAGTATTCTTTGTGGAAATTTAAGGCAAAGTTCAGTGCCATTTATCTTTTGACTGCCTCTTCTCCATAAATTAATATTCCCTTTACACTCCATTCCCTTCGTCTCTGTAAATATGGACCCTGGTTGTGGCCAAAGCTTACAAAATTAGAAGGTTTAATTATAAATGCCTTCTTTATTTGTTGAAGTTTCTCTATCAATGTGCTTCGAAAGAAGTGTGTGTTTGTACGTGTGCATGGACACCTGTGTAAGAGTGGTGGAGGGAGAGAGGGAAAGGGAGAGGGAGGGACAGAGAAAGAGAAAGAGAAAGGAAGGAAGGAAAGGGAAGGGAGAGACTTTTTTCCTCTTGGTTTTCCTTCCTTTTTGCTTCCTAATTCCTATCTGGGTCCACTTTATCCCCAGTAGCCTGTCATGTATCAGCAATTAATTCTTTCAGCATGGAGGCTCCTTAAGGACTGCAAGGCCTTTGACTCTGCACGATTGCAGAATCCGTCTAGCTTCCCTGATGGTTCTGCTCTGACCCTGGGTTATTCATCTATTGCCCCTGAACCATGGGTAAATGATCTAACTTTTCTGGGTCTTGGCTTTCTTCTACATGAAATGTGGTTAAGAATACTCGCAGTACTGAACTGCGTGAGGTGGTAGCTATAAAATGCTTAGCACTTTAACAGACACTTATTATCAGCTTTTTACCTTCAAATTTTTCCTTTTTTTTTTTTTCAGATTGTCAGTTACACAGAGTATAAGTAACTAGAAGTAGCTTGTATTGTATGCCCTATATTTCCTGGAGCATCCCCCAAAGGATGAGAATTTAATAGGGCCAAATCCTCAAACAGAAGGGATGCATTTCCAATGCAGTTTCAGGCATTAAAATAGTCAAATGGAAGTGCTGTTGTTAGCTTCTTCCTAAGATGCTCCACATAAGGAATTTGCTTGTTTTGCCTTTGGGCATGACTGATGGATTTAAGGAAATGTGAATTTTTGATTGTCAGTGTAATGCTTTACCCATTCATATTTTCTTTCTCCTACCTCTGGACATTATCAACTCTTCCCTCCCTTGTTAGTACTGCCCTATTTTCTGTGCATACCAAGTAATTTGAAATATGGCACTTTTGTTAATATTGCTTATTTGCATGTGTCTACTGTACACCCTTTAATTATGATGCATGACTAAACCTAGATTAAAATTTTATTTTTGCACTTAGGACTTGAAAATTCAGAATGCCATGGTTCTAGTACATTTTAGGCCTTTGATAAGTACATATTGCTAGTAATGGATTAATCAAGCACTCAGTTTTCTAAATTATGATCCAATAATTCCCTCATTATTTAAAAGAGAAGTATTTCATTTTACTACTTAAAAATAAATTGGGAGTATTTAAAATATTGGGAAATACTGTGACTTAGGGAGTAGTTAGGTAAGCTTGGAGCATGTAGCAGAAAGTGTGGAATTTTAAATAATATGTGTGAAAAAGTGTTTCACAAACTATTAAGTGCTATTTGTATATAATTGAAATTGCCAATGTAAATCACTATGGGAATTTTAAAGGAAGAAAAATGCAGCCTACAAATTCATGATCCTTGAGCGAAAAGGTTTGGCTGTGTTATCTTTAGGAAAATCAACATTGTATTTTCACAACCACGACTTTCCCTGCTCCTTCCAGATATATAGGACACATTTGTGTCCTATGTATGAATGGATGAGAGCTGGGGTCAGACTTGTTGGAAATGGCCACTGTAATGATGTGTGATATTAGGTAGTGAAACATCACTTTTATAGTCCGAGAGAGGCCGGGCTCTCCCTCTTTGATGTATCTCACCACTTACAATGAGCCTGCTTTCTGCTGGTGTACTTTGTAGAAATATCCATTTTATCACCTAATTAATCAAACTTGATGGAAAGCCTAAATGGGAATTTTCTCTCAGGTAAAAAAAAACACAACACTTTACGAGTAGTCAAAGGGCAGCTGAGTTGGATGTTTACAAGTCATATCTGTGGAAAAATAAAATGTGAGCCTTTCCTTGCTGTGCTTCCTTTATAAAAAGTGCTCTGGTTGCTGAGAATGATAGGAAGATCCCAGATCTCCTGAGATCCGCATCCCCCTACACCTGCCCTTCCCATGCTAATCGGTATGGTGATGCCCCATGGTGAGGAAGGAACTCGGGCATTTTGGAGAGGCATCATGTCAATGCTATGACTTGGGATAGCTCTTTTTTAAAAGTCTCAATTGTTCCTTCCAGACGGCCTAATTAGCTGCAGGCTCAGGCCCAGAGGACAGGCATGGCTATCTTTACCCGCCTGGGGAGTGTCTCTGGAAAGATGCTGTATCAGCCTAACTGGGTTGTATCCTGATGGCCTTTTAGGCGAGAGCTTTATTTTTAAATTTAGTCCATTTTACATGATTGCTGAAGTCAGATTATAGTGGGTAGAGCTCAGCCTCATTCTTAGACCTTTTTTCCTACTCGGTATAGGGGTCATAACCATTTCCCTCTTCTCTTTGCCACTAGGAGAAGGACATAAAATGATAGACTTCTCTGGAAAATGTTGTGTGCATAATACTAAAGATTATTTTCTTGTCTATAGTTTTTGGAGGAACACCTTTGTCTTCTTTTCTGTGGGCCTTCTTTCACTTGGTGATGTAATAAATAAAAGGAAACAAAGTAAGATTAACAATTCAATTTTGATCTTCAGACAGAGGAAAAGGTAATAAATATGTAGAAAATGACACAGCCTTGTTCACTGAGACCCTGTAAGTAACTAGAACATAAGGCGTAATGAAATAAGGGCCAGAGAGGAATACTCATAATATGCTTTGAGAGCTCAGGAATCTCAGTAAGTGAATCAGAGAATGCTTCCTAGACGACGTGGTGTTGGGCTGGGGTTGGGGCTTAGTGGTAGAGAGCTTGCCTAGCATGTGTGAGGCACTGGGTTTGATTCTTAGCACCACATATGAATGAAAATAAAGGTATATCAACAACTAAAAAGTATATATATATAATGAAAATGTGGTGTTGTTGGGCCTTTAAAGTTGAGGAGAGTTTTTAAGGCAAAAATTAGACTGAAGGCCTTTCCAGTCAGTGAAATGGCTGGAAGATAACATTAGTCATGAGAAAGGTTGGTTGGTGCTGGAATAGAAATGGACCAGTGTTGATGTGGAGGGGCATGTGATTGGATTTACTAGGAGGTGGAGCTTGAGAGCCAGATTGGGGCTGCATCAGGGAGGGTCTTGATCCTCTAGGCTAAGAAGCCTTACTAGATCTCTTATCATAGAATGTAGAACCAGTTGAAATAGTTTTTCCTTTGCTTTTTAAAAAGCATCACACACCTTTGCCTTGAATTGTTTTGGAGTTATGCGTTTGGTTTCAGAGTAATCCTTTTTAGTGGAGCAGAAATCATTTGGAAAGGCAGTTCATGATGTCATTTGTCTTATTTAGTCATCTTTGGAAGGAGTGACTTTTAAAACTGATCAAATGAGATTATACACATGGAGAGGCATTACATCTGTTACAGCTGGGAGATCCTCATATTCCGAAGGAAACCCTTGACCTTTACATTATCATATCTACGTTTATTTAACACTTAGCTTTGCTTTTCCTTTCCTTTACTCCACACCTATTTAAAAAATAAAGGCAACATAATAACATTGCAGAAATTTCTAAACAGAGGGGAAACACTCTCCTCCTGTCACAGAGCTACTACCATCATTGTGGTCCTGGGTTAGGGCCCAGCTGGACTTTGGTTGTTTTTGCTGGCTTGTCATTCATTCCTTTCCCCCTTACTAGCACTTTGATTTTCCTTGGAGAAACAAAGTCCTCTCAGGCTATGTGGGGAAATTGACCCAAGAGCCAGAGAAACATAGCTTTCTGATGGCCTTGCTTGAGCACCAGCTATATCTGAAGTTAGTCTTATGGTCTGGGATGTTTTAGTTTTGTCGGCCAATAATTATTTTTCTTGCTTTAGCTATTTTGGATTGTGTTTCTGTCACTGACAGATGCATATAGAGAAATGCTTGCGGATGTTAGGGCTTAAACTCAGAGGAAGGAGGCAGTCGCTGAGCTGACCTGGTCTGGGAAGTCATAATGCTGGAGATGGAATTTATGAAGAGCTTTGCAGGACAGCTTGGTTGTTTTGTAGTATTAGGCTCATCTCTCCCTGTCACACCCTGGAGGTTGTGCTGAGCGCAGTGTGCTTCTCCCTCCTTGGCCAAAGGAATGGGCAGTTCCAGGTATCCTCCAGGTCCTCCATTTATAAATGGAGGGTGTGGGGAGGTGCCCTACCTTTCAGCTGTTTTCCTTGGATGAGGCATGACTGCAGATACACTTTTGATTATAGACATTGCATGTGCACAGATCAGATTGAAGTTGTGGTCCATTTTGGCTATTTTTGAGAAGAGCACAGATCATGTTATGTGCTTGTGCTTTATTGTCATCCCAGTTTATTTTTTCCTGATGAAACCCAGCTAACGTGAGCAACAAGGACATCCTGAAAGGTCAGCCTGTGGGCTGTTTATAGAAATGGAAGGGGATTCTTGTGGACTTTTAGGACAAAAAGGCAGAGGCATCTCCTCTTCCTACCAGTTGTCTTTTTGCCCATAGGATGGACCCTCGTTGTGAGACCTGTGGGAGAAGTCTCTTTGTGGCGTTGATGCTGGTCTTCTGTTACACACCAGAAAGGGAAGCCGGAGTGAACGTGGAGAGATTTTTGAAGCAAGCTTGAGCTCTGATGTCCTTCACGCTGCTGACTCTGGCATTGCTGTTGCCGTGGAGCTGTGATTGTAATCATGATCTCGGCAGGCATATCACAGCTCAGAGTTATACTGCAGATGGTTGACACCTAAGCCAACAGAAAATGTGCATAATCCCTGGGATAACAGATCCTTATAAATCCTCCAGAGACAGCAGGACATGCAACCCATACCCAAGCTGTTTTAATTTCTGCAAATTCCAAACTAGTTAGACAGTAAAGGATCAAAGACAGGCATTTAAATAACAATAAAAAGGTAGGCTGATTTTACATAGGAGAGCAGCTTTTTGTTTTTCATCTGAATACATATCTCCTTTCTTTTCCTTACTCGTCCTCTTATCTAGCTCTGAATCTCTATCCAAACATTATGACTCAAGTTAAGTCCTAGTTAAATAGAATCCCTCTCTTTTTCTGAATGCTGTTCATTCCACCCCTATGAGAAAATTACATAAAGACAAACACAAAAGCAATCAAGGCAGAATGGCACAGTGGGACAATCACTGGACTGGAATCTTGAGAAGTACTCTCTTTGTAGCTTTATCTTCATACTCTGTGGACCTGAGTTTCCCATATGTAAAATGTCAGACTAGGGTCTCTGTGTTAGTTTGTTATTGTTTCCAGTAACAAATTATAACAAATTTGTGACTCAGTGCACATTTCCCCCCCGCCCCCCTGAAAGTTCTGTAGATCAGAAGTCCAGCATGATCTTGGTCCACTGGGCTAAAATCAGGGTGTTGTCGGTAAGACCATGTTCCTTCTGGGAAGCTCTAGAAGAGTTCATTACCTGGCTTTTCCAGTTTCTAGAGATCACTGTCCCTTGGCTTGTCTACCCCTTCTTCCATCTTCAAAGCCAGTAATGGAGGGAGGGAAAAGTTCTTCTTATGTCTCATCTTTCTGATCTACTATTCTGCCTTCCTCTTCTGTTTTTAAGGACTCACGTGATAGATTGGGATCATCAGGTTGATCCAGGATGACCTTCCTATCTTGAAGTTTTTAATGATATCTGTTAAGTCCCTTTTGCCATATAAGGTAACGTATTCATAGGTACTGATGATGAGGCCATGTGCATCTTTGTGTGTGTGTGTGTGTGTGTGTGTGTGTGTGTGTGTATGTAGGGGTAGCATTAATCTGTCTACCATATAGTGAATCCTAAGCCTCTATCATTATTAGATTCTGTTGTGGAAGCTTAGTATCTGTCCAGCACCATTTTACAAATTAAGAATGTAGTCTAGGTGCAACCCAGATGCAGCTCAATCTGCAATAATCAGGGCTTCAAAATTAAAAATAGTGACACTAAAACATATATTTACTCCAGTTTTTAGGTAGTGAATTTAGGGTTGTTTTAATGTCTTCCTTTTGAAAATGATTCTTCCAGTTATCCTCAGTGTAAGTGATACTTCTACAATCTGAAAAAAAATGTAATAGAAATTATTTATTTTGAAAACATCTTTTTTTTTTCTGTCAGGCTTTGTGCTACTATTACTGAAAAGAGAGTTGAATGGAGAATTATTCCTTGCTTGGTATTTTGAGACATGCAAGTCCCTTCTTAGATTGTTCAGACCTGCTTATAAACCAGAAGGCAAGCTGCTGGGATTTGATAGAAAAAAAGGAAAATAAAAATCAAACTACAATCTAGAAAAGTCAGATAGCCTATATCTAATTCAAATATTACTTCATTGCAAAGCCTGGAAATCATATAAAAAAAGTCACATTTGAAATTTTCGTAATGTGTTGAATGATCACATGATCTTACACAATTGCAGATTTCCTGGAAATTGTTTTTACCTTATATAATATATAAGTTAAATAGGATGACATTAATTTAAATTAAAATTGCAGTAGCCACGAAAGTTCAGGAATATTGGGGAGAAGCATTGTTAGAGATAAGAAAGTTCATCCTCAAATTAAGATACTTTTTGAAGCAAACCAAGTGTTAGTTATACAATGGAACTCATGTCTTTTTTTTTTTATATTACATTCCAACATGTTGAACAAATTCTAGCTCTTTTTAAAAAATATCTTTATTTTATTTATCTGTTCCCATCTGCTGCTGAGGATCAAACCCAGGGCCTCACCACCACAACTCCAGTCCTTTAGCTCATTTTTTAAAAAATCTAGAAACCTTTGTGGAGAAGAACATTGTAAAGTCTAATTGGTGATAAATCGCAATCAAAGTTATAGGATCTGAGTCAAATGTCCTCCATAGCTGGTTTCAGAAGAGCAATGGATTAGTGTCATTTTAGTTAAGAATACACACCATGAACATGTTTGTTTGAGGTACATTTTTGTGCTTAAAAATAAAAAAAAGAGGTACAATTTCAGCTTATCTACTGATTGCCTTTACTTTCACCAAGTCAGGCAGTTTGCAGTATTTATTCTTGGAGGGAGAGTTTTTTTGCTTTGCCACTATTTCCCTGTATCTGTTAAAAGAATGGATTTTCCCCTTCATTGAAGGGGTTGGGTGGATGCATGTAGCAAATTGGTAAGAAAGTAGTTTGACAGAAACTGCTTGAGGTTGTAACTTTCAATTTTCCTAGTTTTTGTTCTCTCCCTGAGACCTTTAAGTTTCATTGTACCTGTGAAAAAGGCAAAAGGAAGGCTGGTAATGAGCTTGGCTGCCTTCATTCCCCACTCCTGCCACTCAGGGTTTTATTTTTCAATATTCAAAAGTTCAGAAGTTTCAAAGGGTGAATATTTAGCAATTACTTTATTTTTCTATTTTGGGATGATAGACAATTTGGGCAAGTTGTGCAAATGTTTTTAAACAGCCTGTGGGGTGTGTGTGTGTGTGTGTGTACGAGCGCACGCACATGCACGCATTTCAAGAGGGACCCAAAACCTCCTGCAAAACTATTATTTGCTACTTTCTTATTGACTTTTCAGGGACTTGGGGTATCCTAGAAGCAACACTTATGTGGCCCAAAGGGAAGAAAGGGACTTAGTTCACACACTTTATCTGTGTCCATTTTGTAGATTCTACATATTTTGTAGGAGATTAAGATAATTCTCAGAAACTGGTGATAATTTTTTCAGTATTACACATTTCTTTTTTTTTGGGGGGGGGATGGGGCATTGAACCCAGGGCCTTGTGCATGCAAGACAAGCACTCTACCAACTGAGCTGTATCCCCAGCCCAACCCATTTCTTTTTTACTTAGGGATATCCTCACAGTCCTCACTGTCACCAATGTTGGTAACAGGACTGTGAGGAAATTGGGATATACATACATATATATTTGCTTATTAGGCAGACCTAAAACCATGGTAACTGTACAATAAGGGCTATCAAAACTATTAAAATTCTAGGTATGTAGGTTTTTATAACTAGGGGGATTCTTGAGGTAGGATTCTGTTGCCTCCCCCAAAATGTCTTCTCTTTAGTGCCAGCAGAATGAGCCCCTTGTTGGCCCTCTCAGGGTGCTTCCTCCCTGGCAGGGAGGAGCCCAGTTGCTTTCTGAACCACTGGAAGCTGAACTGGAAATTCGGACAGAACGTGGTTTCCTTATCTGAGGACATGTCCCCCTTGTTCCCTTCCTTTGACTGCTCGGAAGAGATTGAGGCAGTCTCTGCCGTGCCAGTCTCCTGGCTTTGCATATGTCAAGACGAAGAGGATGAGTTAGAGACATACCGTGTCAGCAGCAATGGAGTCAATACTTAGTCATTCATGAATATCTAATTTAATTTTTTACCCAAACTAGCCAACTGTAAATGCAGAGTTTCATTACTCATTAATCATTAAACACACACACGTTTGTATAATCGTTACTCCTTCTCTGCTCCTCCCCTCTCTTGCCTCTCTCACTGCTCCTTGGCATTTTCCCCACACCTCGTCCCCGGCTCGGCTCGGCTCCTTTCCTTACTGTCATCCTTCTCCTATTGCAAATCTGTGCAGACACTGGGGTCCACCTCTGCTTCACAGCAGGTGCGGGGACTCCATGCTGTCCAACCTGGCACCCCCCACTGGGCCCATGCCTTGCTCTGCAGTGAGGCAGCTCTGTGCTCACCTCAACAATTTCATCATCCTCAAGCCCAGGAGGCATTTCCAGGAACTGGTCGATGTCTCTCTCTTCTGGTGGGCAACACGAGGGCAAGTCCTAACAAGCTTCATGTTCTTGATGACTGACCTGATCCATATGGGGAGAGATCCTGTTGGACAGCTGGAGATCTTCCTCCTGAGAATCAGAGACCACAGTGTCATCGTCCTTGTCATCTTTCTCATTGTCTAGAAAGGCCTTAAGATTTTTCATTAGATCATCTAGGTCCCAGAGGGTCTGGTTGGTCCTCCCCTGTGGGCACTTGTCTATCCTCTGGTTGTCTTCACTCAGAGCATTAGCTACTGAGTCTTCATGTTGGCAGCTCAGATAGGCATCCAAGACCTCAATGATGGCTTCTTCGCCAAGTTCCTCTGGGTTGTCCTGAATTTGATTTCGCCTCCCCGTGGGTCTCTTTACACTTTTGGTTCCCCATCCCCCTTGGACAGGAGGGAGGAAGTGGCAGGAAAAACCCTCAGAAGTCAACTCTTCACAGGGTATGATATCCTCACACTCAATGCTGTCCTCATGGGGGAAATAGCTCACTGAGACACTCTGGTTGGATTTGGATTTTGAAATGCTGTGCTCCATGTCAGGGCAGTTGCTTCTGGAAGATGAGTCTTCCATGGAGTTCAAGGGCTCAAATGCCCAGTGTCCTTCAACACTGGAAACTTCAAAAGAAAAACATTAATAGCTGATATTGGGAAGAGAGTCATGTACTTTAGCAAACAATACCCATTCCTTTTTTTCCATTCACAACTATCTCACTGTGGCAGAAGTGCATCCTGTATTTGTACTCCCTAGTCAAGGACACAAGAGGCCGTTCTTTCTCTTTAAAAACTTTTTCTATCGTGTAATAACCCTCTGACTGAGCATCTCCAGGGGGAATGATAACCACCAGCGAAAGAGTTTGATAAGTTTCTTTATAATCTTCTCTTTCTTTATATCTTCTATTTATCCATCCATCCATCTATCAATCTATGGATTGTACATGTATGTACACATCCTTAAAAATGTAGGTGTCACATCAAAGAAAGTGAGATTATTAAATTTTATGACACAGCTTACAGGAAACATGTATATGGCTATTCTCTAACTCTTTTTTTTCAGGGGGGGAGGAGGGTACCAGGGATTGAACTCAGGGGCTCTCGACCACTGAGCCACATCCCCAGCCCTATTTTGTATTTTATTTAGAGACAGGGTCTCACCGAGTTTCTTGGCTAGTGCCATGCCATTGCTGAGGA